TCGGAAGAACTTTAAAGCCTGCTAGTGTATGATCCTCAGTCGTTTAGTGTATGATGGCCAGTTTTCCTCTGTGACTATTTACAAAGTCGGTATAAGTATATGATGCTCAGTTTTTTTTTAAATCTGTTCAGATGTTAAAAGTCGTGTAGTGTATTCCAGCCTTTAGTTAACAGTTAGTTTAGTGAATTTAGTTTAGTTCAGAAATTTGGGGTAAGATTTATTTTTGAAAGAAAATTTATCAAAAGTGACCTTAAAGACATTTATAATGTTACAAAAGATTCCTATTTCAAACACATTCTATTCATCAAAGAATCCTAAAAAAAAAATGTATCACGGTTTTCACAAAAATATTAAGCAGCACAATTGTTTTAATAATAATAAGAAACTTTCTTGAGCACCAAATCAGCATATTAATGATTTCTGAAGGATCATGAAACACTGAAGACTGGAGTAATGATGCTGAAAATTCAGCTTCGCCATCAAAGGAATAAATTACATTTTAAAATATATAAAAAAGGATCATTCCATTGTTGTGAGAGTTTGTGACAAACACTAAACTTTGAGAACTCACTCAATGAATAATTATATTACAGTATTAGAGACAACCTTAAGTATGTTGGCTATTTATACAAGTTATAAAAGGAGAGTCCTGCCTGCAGTGTTTACTTACGTGATCATTCTGTCCTGTTAAAGGCAAAGCTTATGAAGTGAAAGGATGGGTAATGCCTTCTGTTTTCTCACAATCTCTTTATTATTTAATTCTCTGTGTTTTTACACAGCACTAGAGCCTGTTGCTATGGCAACAGTGTCCAAGCAACCACACAATAGGAATCGCACTCTGCAATGAGCTGCAGTCATTCACTCGCCTTGCACGACTCCTGTGCAATTCACACCATACTGCAAACACACACACACACACACACACACACACACACCTCGCACACACAGTTAGATGGTCTGAGGATGAATGCAGTATAAATCAATACGTGACCTACTGTTAATTGCTACTCAGGTTTTTAGGGGATAAAATGTCTCTGGATGTTCTTAGGGTTTAATCTGAATCATCTGTAATGCTTAGATGAGACACATAATGGATAATGAATCCAGTTAAATTTTGGTCTTCGTACCAGTTGGATTGAAAATATAAAATAACAAACTATACATAAAAAAATAGATATCCTTCCTGTCCTTTATTCTCTCTCTCCCTCTCTGTTCAGTGCAACCTTTCTAAATCTCTCTTGTAAATGAGTTTACAGATGGCACAAAGGCCTTGATTATCAGCTCCATCCATTTGACTTTGGGCAGAGAACCGTAAGAATCACCAGTACATAGAGCGAAAGCATCTGTTGAATTGGCCACGGTCGCAGAAAAACACAGCAAACACTCTCCCTGCAGCTCTGTGACACTCACTCGCTCACTTACTCACACACACACACACACACACACACACACACACACACACACACACACACACACACACACACACACAGACAGTCACAGTTTGAAATGAGTCAACACTCTGTCCTCTATAGACAGTGCCTATATCCGTCCCTGTCGTATAGTTATTTCTAATTCTGAGGTCTCCTGAGAAATACGAGTTGTGTAATTATCATTATGTTCTTGGCCCCTTTTTAAAATTCAAACGGTCCACTCACACTTAACACATCCAGCATAATGGTATTTTATGAGTTGCTAGGAATAGTTGCTATTAATTGGATTCACTCACAGGGAAACATGAAATTTCAGGCACATAAATAAATGTAAATACATTTTTATATAATATTCTTCCAGTTTTTCAGTTTCATTGTGTATTCAGATCTGTCCCAGAATTTGACGATATTGGAAGATTCTCATTTTGTGCCAATATTCATTTTTAGGTCCCTTTAATGCACACAACTGAATTCAAGTTATTCAGTGGCCACATACCCAGAAAAGTTTTGGAAGTGAGGGCATCTCACAGCTGTAAACAAGAACTGTCACTACATTAATTTTTCAAAGGTGAATTTGGCTCTAGAATGTAATCCTAACTAATCCATAACTCTGCATGTACAGAACGACATAAATCACAACAGGACTGACAACCATATTTACGTTTCTATGCGGCCAATCTGAACTGATGCTTGAGGTTGTTTGTCACTTCCTGCTGTTATTTATATCATAGGTGTTGAGGAGAGGAAAAATGAGGAGAGTGCTGAAAGTGAGGGGGATGATGAAGAGAATGAGAGATTTGAGGGTGTTTGGAGCAGAAATAGCAGTGAGGAAGTAGGGCAGGTGCAGCAGGGCCCCAGCAGATCTGTCCTTCACTACAGACTCTACACTCGGGCTCTACTTCTCATATGTAAATAATAATGACTGTGTGTGTACTTAGAGTGAGTAGGTTCTCATTCACACAGAATTAGAGGTGAATATTCCTGCTTGAGGAGATAACATACAGAACACGTAGTCTGCAA